TTGACTGATTTCATCTCCTTGTCAAAAATCAGTTGACCATAGATAGATGGGCTGATCTCTGGATTCTCAATTCTATTCCATTGATCTATGTGTCTGTCATTGTATCAGTACCATGCTGTCTTTACCACTATGGCAGTGTAGTAGGATTTGAAATCAGCGAGTGAGATACCTCCTATAATTCTTCTATTCTTAAGGAGTGCTTTGTTTATTTAGCGCTTCTTCCCATTCCACACGAAACTGGAGATTGCCTTTTCCATCTCATTGAAGAATGGGACTGGTATTTGTATTGGGATTGCATTAAATTTGTAAATTGCCTTTGGTAGTATTGTCATTTTCACAACGTTGAGTCTTCCTGTCCATGAGCAAGGGATATTCTTGCACTTTTCAAGATCTCTTTTTGTTTCTTGTAGTAATGTTTTGTAATTTTCTTTGAAATGGTCCTTTGTACTTCAGGTTAAATTTATTCCCAAGTTCCCAAGTATTTAATCTTGTGATTAGCTATTGTGAAAGGTATTGTTTCTTAGTTCTGCCTCTGTATTCTCTTTGTCGCTGTAGAGAAATCCAGCTGATTTTTGTATGTTGATAATGTATCCTGCCACTTTGCTAAATTGGTCCACTGTGTCCAAGAGTTTTCTTGCTGAGTCTTTAGGGTTTTCTAATATACTATCATGTCATAGGCATAGAGGGATAATTTTACCTCCTTGTTGCCTATTGATCCATATTTTAAACACATATTGTTCTAGAACATCTTTTTATGTCTTTTACTACAAAAGTAAAATAATATCCTTAACACTTATCTCTCTTATTAAATACCTCTGCATTTAGTCTGTTAGTGTTTGGTCTTTATGTAAGGGTGTTCTGTTATTACGTTCTATAGGAAGTTGTACTGTTAACCCAAAGGCAGCAAGTCTCTGGGACTTCAAATCCACCAGCTGCTCTGAGGGAGAATATGGGAAATCCTGTTATTTTGTGATTTCCAGTCTTCAAAAATTCTCTAGAAGGTCATCTGTGAGTTGGCATCAGTTAGATAGCAATGAAGGTTTTTTTATTTTGTTTGTTTTGTTTTTTTAAATGTTTATCTATTAAGACAAGTAAGGACTAGTCCTTGGAAAAGAGATAATTTCAAAAGGGATTTATCGTAACTCAAATATATTATTAATTAGGGGTTTATTTGTGTATGTGTATGTGTGTATATATAAGCATTTTTAAACTACAAAGGAAAAAAGAAAAGTTAAGAAGCAAGAAATTTGTTTCTGTTGTGGTAGATAGTAACCTTCTATATTCAAATCCTCAATAGTTGTCAAAAGACCTTAAGCCAGTCCACCTGTATGGTCACAGAACTTCAGTTTTGGCCACATTTTCATTATTATAATCTAATTATTTGAGTCATTCTTCCAAGTTTACTGGATTATTTCATGTACTACTCCTACAGCCCAAGATAGTATAGTTATTATATGGAAAGTTAACTAAGGATGTTCTAAAATATTCCAAAGGGACTCCCTCAGAGGCTTTCTAGTCCCTCCTCAAAGTTTCCAAGAGTTGTGGATTTGTTTAAGACTGTGAACTTTTTGTCTATGCAGTGATAAAATAAATGGAATAAACTAGCTGAACTGTCACAACAGAAGTAGATTCGGGTCTAATTTTAGGACTAGGAAGCCTCTCCCGTCTGCTACTACATACTGGATATGTACCTTGGACAAGTGGTACTTGAACTTTCCGAAGCCCCTGCTTCCTCCTTATAAAACATTATGTAAGGATAATATGTGTGAATATACTTTCTGTACTCTTTAAATGCTAGGTACTATTGTTCTTATAAAATTTAAGTAATACTTACTAGTTTTCAAAAAACAAAAGTAATTTATACTTTAATCTTTTCTTAAATGGCATAGCCAAGCTTCTGAACAATTTGGTTATAGTCTTGTAATAGTGGATTATATTCATAGTTTTTTCCTTAACAACAATTGTATAAAGTGTATTATGATCCTGTATGTTGTTGTTGTTGTTGTTGTTGTTGTTATGTGCCGTCGAGTCGCCTGTGACTCATAGCGACCCTATGTACAACAGCCCTAAACTCCGCTCTGTCCTGTGCCAGTCGCACTGTCTCTGACACTCCCATCCCAATTATCCCAGTCACTGAATCAATCCACCTCATAGAGGGCCTTCCTCTCCTGCGCTGTCCCTCCACCCTCCCAAGCATGATGTCCCTCTCCAAGGACAGGTCTCTCCTCACAACATGTCCAAAGTATGTTAGACTGAGCCTCAGAATCCTTGCCTCCAAGGAGCCACCTGGTTTAACCCTTTCTAGGACAAAACAGTTTATTTTCCTAGCAGTCCATGGTATTCTCAATACTCTTCTCCAGCACCACAGCTCAAAGGCATCAATTCTCCTTCTATCCTCCTTGGTCATTGTCCAACTCTCTGATGCATAACAAGTGATTGGGAAGACCAAAGCCTGTATCAGACACACCTTAGTCACCATTGCTCTTCAGTACTTTGGAGAGGTCCCTAACAGCAGACTTTTCCATGGTAATGCGCCTTTTAATTTCCTGGCTGCTGGTGCCAAGACTGTTGACTGTGGAGCCAAACAAACTAAAGCTGTGTACAATCTCAATCTCTTCACCATCCATCCTGATGCTGCCAATTGGTCCAGTGGTGAGAATCTTTGTCTTCTTGACATTGAGCCTCAATCCATATTGGAGGCTGCAGTCCTTGACACTCTGCAGCAGGCGCTTCAGGTCCTATTCAGTTTCAGCAAGCAGGGTTGTGTCATCCCCATAACGCAGGTTGTTGATAAATCGTCCACCAATCTTGACCCCACATTTCTCCTCATAGAGCCCAGCCTCCCAGATAATCTGTTCTGCATATAGATTTAAAAGGTATGGAGATAGGATGCATCCCTGGTGCACGCCCTTCCAAATTTTGAACCATGCAGTGTTCCCTTGCTCTGTTCTGACGACTGCCTCCTGGTCCAAGTATAAGTTTCGCATTAGAACGATCAAGTGTTCTGGGATTCCCATTCTTCTCAGAGTCAGCCATAGTTTGTTATGATCCACACAGTCAAGTGCCTTTGCATAGTCAATGAAACACAGATAGACATTCCTCTGGTATTCCCTGCTTTCAGCCAAGATCCATCTAACATCAGCTACAATATCTCTAGTACCACGACCCCTTCTAAACCCAGCCTGGACTTCCGGTAGTTCTCTGTTGATGTGCTGTTCCAGTCGTTTTTGGATAATCTTCAGTAAAATCTTGCTTGCATGTGAAATCAGTGAGATTGTTCTGTAGTTTCCACATTCTGTTGGGTCACCTTTCTTTGGATAGGAACAAATATACATGCTGTGTGTAGTGAAGAATAAAAGAGCTGAGCTAGAGAAAGGATAGAGTTTGAAAGCATATGCTGAGTGAAATGGGCTAGATACCCTTGGAATAATACTGTATGTTCTCACTTACATGAAATCCTAGAACAGAAAATGCTTACAGACAAAAAGTACATTAGTGGTGACCAGAGTCTAGGTCAAAAATGAGCAGGTATTACTGAAAAGGTCCTAGATTCTGTTTGCAGTGATGTAAAAGTTTGGAAATGGGTAGCAGTAACGGTTGTACAATATAGTGGATGTATTTACTGCCTCTGAATTGCACACTGTAATTACAAATATTTATGTTGTACATATGTTTTATAACCACGACTTTTTTTGTGAACCTGGAAAAGATGTTAACCTTTTGAGGCATAATGTTGCCTGCAATGCTTAAGTTATCAGTACTGATGTTCTGTAGAAGATGAACCATATTTTATGCACTTTTGCATCTTTAAATCTTCATAGAAGACTTACCACTGAGTGTTAGACTTCAATTTGTAAGCCACAACCTTCATCAAATGCTGTTAACATTCTTATTAATAAAGAGCCAATTTGCTGTTGCAGCTCCGTCACTTGGGAAATGATGAGGTTCACATCGTCTGGTCTGAACACTCCAGGGACTACCGCAGGGGTATTATCCCCACTGCCTTTGGAGACGTTTCAATCATTATCTACCCAATGAAGAATCACATGTTCTTCATCACCATAACGAAGAAACCTGAGGTACATGTTCACTGCTTTACTGCTCTAACTTCTATAGCATTTGTCATGTGATTCATTCTCATTGCAAAATAATGACTAGTGGATGTTGCATGTGCTATTGGAGAATTAAATCTGAATTCAGATTTTCAAATTACCTTTCATCATGAGCACAAAATTCTGTATTCATTACTTGACCTCTTTGAAAATTACCATGTCAAAGAAGTTTGCTGTTTTTGAAAAGGTAAAGTTTTTACAACTTACTTATTTAAATGAAAAATTATAATTTCCAGTTTTGATAACAGTGATTAATTGTGGGAGTGAAATGAACAATGCAGCACATCCAGTGTTGTGTGGATGACTGTGAGTGTGGAATCTAGGCTTCTAATAGGATCAGTCCGGGAAACTAAAAGCATGCCACCACTGCACAGCCTTTGTGTGATGATGTCACAACTAAAGCACCTTGACACATAATCAATTCAGCCGTATCAGTTAGTGTTGATCGAGGAAATACAGGAAACAATCCAGTGTTCTATGTGCCTTTACTAAATTAGCTGCTATTTCTCACCTTGGTAAGCCTTTGGTGATATCTTGTTGTATACCACCAAGTTGGAACCAACCATAGGTGACCTTCTTGCGAGTTTTCAGACGCAGTGAATCAGAGGGAGGAAGTTGCCCATCTTTCTTCTATGAAAGCAGCTGGTGGATTCGAATCATGTGCATTTGGGTTGACCATGCAAATCCTTACTCCTGGGCCACTAGAGCTCCTCTTCACTGCGAAATATAGACCTATTGTAGGCAAGTCAATTCTAACTTATAGTGACTCTAGAGGCCTGAGCCAGTGTCTACAAGGCTGGAAGCTGACTACCATGTCTTTTCCTCAAGACGAGTCGTGACTTTCAACCACCAAACTATTTGTTAACAGACAATTGCTTAACTACTACACCATCAGGGCTCTCTAGACATTTAGCACAGTACCTTATTCTTTGGGAAGATTGGTAGTATTTTTCCAGCTTGAAAATAAATAAACTCCTTCATTTTCATTCCACATTATTTTCCTGAAGGAGTTTCACAGTGCCATTCTAAGAAACCTGTTTTTAAACTTTAAAACAATAAGTAACCAAGATTTACTGCTAGGCTTAAGACTATAACCTGATATAACGTATTAAAATTGTGATGATTAAATGAGTTAATAAATGGAATGTGCTAAATCATAGTAAGAGTGTTTACATATTATAATAGTATCACTACTCTTATTTCTGATTATACTTAACAACTGTGGATTGAAAAGAAACAATCAAGCCCAAGTTTAACCAGCTTATTATTACATAGACTAGACATAGTGTAGTCAAATCCTGAGTCTAGAAAAGCCCTGCTTTGGCAAGTGAAATGCTTGATAAGATTGTGGTTATCTTTTTCATCCCAGTTGCTAACATGAAGGGAACCTTCTTTTAATTTAGGGAGCCAAGATGTAAAAAAAAATTTCATATTAAATGTGTTTCTAGTGGCAAGAAGCTGCAACTACAATCCCAGAGGTGCACGGTTCGAATCCACCAGATGCTTTGCCGGGGAAGGAGGGGCAATCTCCTCCTGCACCAGTCAGATCTGATTTGACGGTACATGCACACAAAAATAATAAAAAAAAAATGTGTTTCTTTGATTTGGAATTTGGGGTGTGAAGCTTTCACTTTCCTATAAAAAAATGTTTGTGGTGCTTATACTTGTGTTTACCCATGCATGAACAGCATGGTTTTCATTTAAAAAATTAAACTAAACATTTCAATTTAAGAGAACCAATAAATTAATACTTTGCAAAACAACTATGAGATATCATCTCACCCCAGTCAGAATAGCATAATTTAACAGAACAGCAAACATCAAATGCTGGCGAGGTTGTAGAGAAACTGGAACCCTTATTCACTGTTGGTGGAAGTGTAAAATGGTGCAACCACTGTGGAAGGCGGTATGGCACTTTCTCAAAAAGTTGCAAAAAGAGGTACCATTTGACCCAGCAATTCCACTACTGGGAATATACTCCAAAGAGACCATAACTGCCACCCAAGCAGATATATGCACACCCATATTTATCATG